TTTTGTCAATATCTCAAATTATGTAAAAGGAATTAAACTACAAATTAGGATCGATTAGGGTAGGTAAAGAGAGCATTTATTTTGGAAATACGTGTTTTAACGTCATGTCAAGATGTCCATCCAACAACCTGTTCCGAGGCCGCGATCGAAGCACGGCCACAGGCACAGTCAACAGGCGGCGAACTCCCGTACTCTTTCAACAAACGTGAGGCGCCTACAAGAGGAACTAACCGCAGTTTTAAACGAGGACGACCATGCATTCTTTGTTCATGCTTTAAATGATTACAACGCAAAGAGGAATGTATATTCACTGGTACAAAATCTAAGGAAGATGTGTATAAGAGACAGGTTTTAGAGAGGTGTGGACATGAATGCCACCCCTTACTAAACCCTGTCGAATGTGAACCCGCATCCCTGGCAGCGAACGTTAAAATAAGAAATCTCGTCACTAGACCTGGTATAATAACAAAACATTTTTTATTACAATAAAACCTCCAGAAAGGGGCATTGTTTTCTGATTGTAGTTAATTGTTCATAGATTTTATGCAAATCTGGTGCTATTGGTGGAGTTGGCTTAATAAAGTCTCGCTATCTTTTCTCCACTATAACGGCATGTCAAGAAAAATACCATGTCCTTTCTTTAATCTTATTTTTGTTAGTAAAGGAGATAAAGTACCCATGCCTAGGCCTTATAATACCGCAGCCGCAAAATAACTCCAGTCCAGTGACAGTCAGGTGGTCGGGTTTATCTCTCGAAAAAAAAGGATGATGGCCTGGCCTGCTACAGTACTGTAAAAAACTGAGCTAGGCCTAGAGGGTTCCCATCTTAGGTCAAATAGAAAAATTTATTAGATTATCACTCCCGCTCGCATAAAAAAATCAGGAAATATTGATGCAGGAATAAAAAAAAAATTTTTTTTTTGCCGCATCAATTAGGCCACGGGAATGAAAGTTGTAGGTTTGCGTCCACCGCCCGCATGCCTAAAAAGCTACCGCACAAAAATGTTCATTATTTTGAAAAAAAAATATACTTCGTTTTAAAAAACTGACTTTCTGAGCCGTAAACGGACAGAAAAACGATCTATTCATCACTGATCACTCGTCATGAACACCGAGCGAAGGCAGGCCTGGCCACATCGCACCATGATCGCCGATCACTGCTGAGGTCATTTACGGGTCAAATCGATCTTTCTGACCAATAGGAAATCTCGTATGTTTAAAGAGGTCTTAAATGTAGAAAAGGATCTGTTTTATAGGCTAGTGTACAGCCTATTTATGACTGTAAGCATTGTTTCTTGGGAATAAATGTAAAATTACCAATGCCGCGGCTTGTGGACAGCATTTATAAAAAAAATAATGAATAATGAAAAATGAAAAAATGCTTCACGTATTTTCAAAATTTTTCGGACGCAAACCTACAACTTCCATTCTCGTGGCCTTATTTCAACAGCATAAAAACAACATTGCAATTTTGTGACTTCAAGTACATTTTCTTTAAAAAACTATAAAATTAAACCAGTTTTTATACAATATTTACTATTACAACCAAATATAAACAGTCCCTCCCTCAATAAAAACAAAAGCGAAATAATGTAGGCCTAGGAGGGAGGGGCCTACCAATTTAAAAAAAAAAAAAAAAAAGCCCTCCCTGGCCTGGACCCTTATCAATTTAAAAAAAAAAGAGTGATAATCTAATAATTTTTTCTATGTGCCCTTACAGACAAGCTATGGTTGCTAACTTGTGCTTGTCCTCCTAGGCTTTAGCTAGTCTAGGCCTAGGCCTACTTACTTTCAATACTAGGCCTAGGGGCGCCTAGCCTAGGCCTACACCACTACTCAGTTCATGGGACTCTAAAAAAAACAAAAATGTTAGGAGTAGGCCTAGGCTAGCCTAACCTAGACCTTAACTTACTTCTAATTCTACGTAGGACCTTGTATTGTTCTTGAAAATGATATACAACCGTTACGATAGAAAGAGTTTGTAGTACCTCCTTTGTATTTCACGCACATGCAGCTGGATATTACCAAAATATCACTTCCGCCAACAATAACGGACTTGAATGATTGTAAAATTACTCGGCGTTGCAGCAATTTCCTTTTGATATGCAAATGAGACGTTGACAAGGAAACAGAATAAATGAATTTCTGTATAATACAGGCAAATTATATATTTAATACATAATCTGATAATTTATACTATTACCTATATACCATATGTCAAACCATATTTATGTATTTTTCTCAAGGTTAATACAGCATTAATTTATAATCGACAACCTTTTGTTTACAGGCACTTACGTATGCTCCAATCAACGATCGATAATTGGCAGCCATGTTGTGCGCGAAATATATGCGTGAGAAATACTTGATGTTTTTCGTGTACAGAGTGGACGTCTTACGGAGTAGAATAACATAGAAAATTAGCGAATGCCATGCTCTGGCGATTACGATCTGTTTTGTCAATATCTCAAATTATGTAAAAGGAATTAAACTACAAATTAGGATCGATTAGGGTAGGTAAAGAGAGCATTTATTTTGGAAATACGTGTTTTAACGTCATGTCAAGATGTCCATCCAACAACCTGTTCCGAGGCCGCGATCGAAGCACGGCCACAGGCACAGTCAACAGGCGGCGAACTCCCGTACTCTTTCAACAAACGTGAGGCGCCTACAAGAGGAACTAACCGCAGTTTTAAACGAGGACGACCATGCATTCTTTGTTCATGCTTTAAATGATTACAACGCAAAGAGGAATGTATATTCACTGGTACAAAATCTAAGGACGATTTTGAACACTCCAGAAAAACAGAGATTATATTTACTGCTTGGGAAAGTTGTGCCCAATTCGGATCAAGCCTTGTTTTGGCAACATGCAGAATTACCTCAACCAGTTAAAAATGACAGAACAATCAACAACAATAGTAATAATACTAGAAACTATAATACAATGCCAACGAGGACTCAACAAGTAATTCAAAATTGGAATCCAGCAATCGAACCGCATGGGAAAACTATCCGTAAGGCTGCTTCCCAATCCGGCCTACCTCAACAAGATGTTCATACCAATATCCATAGGATCATATTGAAAAAAAGCAAGCATGAGAACGAAGGATTGGGATTCAGTATCCGAGGAGGAGCAGAACATGGTGTTGGGATTTTTATTTCTAAAGTGGATGTAGGGAGCGTTGCAGAGGAAAGGGGAATACAAACAGGAGACCAGCTCCTGTCTGTCAACGATACATCATTTGAGAAAATAAGACATGAAGAGGCTGTTAAGGTACAGAAACATATTATATAAAAAGGCTGTGGCTATTCTTACATCGAAAACATCGAAATTCCCAACAATTTGATTGGTGAACTTGGCTTTACTCTCTAACCTTCAAAATAATTCTCGCTATCTTAATGCACTACATATCGGCGTAAGCATTGCCACTTTGTAAAAAAAAAATTTAAACATTTAAAATTGTTTTTATATTATATGATTTTTTTTTTTGTAATTTGATGCTAAAATATTTTTTTTAAATTATAGTATTTAATACAGTATTTGGTATTTTTTTGAAAATATATAATACAGGTATTGTTCCTGCTTGTGCATCAAGATTTTTTTAAATATTTTGAATACAGATATTCCTGTATTTGTTTGTACAATTTGTTGAAACAGGGTAGTGATGATACAGTATGATTAATCGTCATGAAATGTGTGTGACATTACTGACGTGATACTGGTATTTACGTGTTGTATGGTGTAGTAATGTATGGGACATTTACTTGACACTGAAATCCTTCCAATACCATAAATACTGATGATACCTACGAGCTGTCTGATCTTTTTAAACAGACATTGTGGGAATATGTTGCTAATGATGTGTTGAGACAAAGTTCCTTTTGACTCTGAAAATCCATCCTACAATACTTTGCTTTGTATGGGGTACGATTCTAATTTGAAAGTTAGCTTTGTCAAAAAGATTCAAGATACATTTTATTGTCCATCATTTGGAAATTTAGGGAGGAAAAGTTTGTTGTGATGTTAAAAATATAAGTACAAGCTATGAAAATATACTGTACGCATACTGCACTGCAGACTAACACAAATAAGCCCTTAAAAGCAAGCACACTCGTTAAAATATAGATTTAAGATTTATTGTTAGTTGGTACACGGAAAATTGGAGAGCCAACAGTACACAGTAATGATTTGTATTGTATAACCACAAATAAATTAAAAATGTACAGTACTCATTGTATTGTTTACCAATGTCACAAAGGATAACATACAGTATGTACATATAGTAAATGCTGTCAATTTTAATTACTTTTTTTTATTGATTATAATATATTTTACATTTTCTATATATTTAATGAATATACCCCCTCTTTTTTGTGGGAGGTACTGTACTTGTACAGGTATACAAATGTATTCCCTGTGCAGCTAAATTTCATTTTCAGTTTTACGCTTGTTCCGACGGGAAGCTGACACCGACTGTATGATCGGGGTCACCTGATGGAAAACAAGCGCTTCATCCTGCAAGCTAACACTGACAAATGACCAGATTGGCAAGGCTCTCATCTGACAGAACTTTCTGTTAAGCTTGACCACGGTCTCCTTTTCGAGGCAATTCTAGGCCTATTTGGTTCATAATATCAACCAAAGCATCTTTAAAATTACCTTTTTGAGTTGTTTTTAACTTCATAATTGTCAAAAGTAATCCAAATAAAACATTACAGGACAATTTATATTATTACCGTTCGTTGTAAACTTCATATAAAATTTCATGTCTTTTTTTGGGAAATCCGCAAAATACTGTGGTAGTTCGTTCACGGTGTCTAAGGATAGGGCTGAACAAGATACGGTGAACGCCGGTGAGATACCGTACGTACATGATTCTTAAATTACAGCTAATACAGTAGCCTTATCTTTAGCCACTGCAATTCTCACATTCTAGCAGGAAGAACCACGAACAACATTCATACTCGCATACTACATTTGGAGGCTCGGGTTATAAATGCTGCCGAAAATCTCCTAAATGTTAATAATAATAGGTAGGCTTAGGGTACATCAGGTGAGAAAAAAAAAACTCAGTTTTATTTCGCTTTTTTGGAATGCTCTACCAAGTGAAGATGAAAAAATTGGATGTTAAACATATTTTGCCTTTTATTTGTCAATAGTTGGGATGGCCTACTGCCTACCCAATTCAAGGCAGCCCTATCCCAGGCAGGCCCTCGCCTAATGTAATTTCTGTTTTGTAGTCTTCGTCTTATTGAAACATCATCATGAGATCAATAGAAATAATTTTAATCTTCAACTTTTTATATCAGTGTATAAGCGCTATAACTATCCTGGCCGCTATAACTTTCGTGTAGACATACGATAACATTTGATGCGACCTTGACTGGATTTCTCGTTAACTTGCATCGGATAGGAGTGATCGTCGGAACATAGCTTTTGTCCCCTACCATGTTCTGTACTGTAATTTACTGACTCTTCTAGAAACAGTGACAGACTGTACTGTAGAAGGCAGGTGGAAAAACTCTTTTGCCCCTCATGTGACATTGAAATTGATATCTTTACTGTATAGTACCTCAAATTACAGGGTCTTGAAAAAATACAGCAGTACTATATGTGTGGTGGAGGCCTAAAGTTCAAATCAGTCATTAAATTCAATTGTTGAAAACAAAATACCATACTAAAAGCCTTAAAGTCTAACTGCCGTACTTGCACAATAATTACACTAAATCAAAAAGTGTCCAAAGATTGACAAAATTCCTGTACCTTCTTTAAAACACAATGACAAAATATTAAATGTGACTCTCCAATCCTTTAAGGTCAAATTAAATAGAATAATTAACTTTCAATACACCTAGTGTAAAGAATATAGATTTTTTTTAAAGATAAACCACTTTAAGCATTTGATTGTCTTAATTATTTTTTTAATCAATCGATATTCGTTGCCTTGCAAACCACCAGAAATATTTTTATTTTTATTCCTTTAAATTTTTAATTCTATTGTTTGATTGACATCAGCAATGGTAGAGAGTGATTTATAAAAATGAATTACCAAAGATTAAATTTACTGTAGGCATTAATTCTTCTCCAGTGAGCTTTCCTATCCTAAGTGGACGTATCCGATTCATTTGCTATTCTAGTAGATGATCATGTTACAATTACCTACTATACGTAGGAATCAGCTTGCCTTGTTATGTAAATTACCATCCTCCACTTATTGCAACCTTGGTAGATATGAAATTATCATCGTTAATTTTTTAAAATCCAGAATATGACTGGCATCAATTTAGAAGAAACTTCCCAAAATGAATCTCTTGGGAAATGCCTTTCGTTTCACACAATGTTTCCGTTGTACTGTAATTAACACTTGTTGAAAATCTAAATCAAATCTTTGCTAATTAAATGCTACAACCTGTTGAGTTGGTTGTTTCGTTTTCACAAGTCAGTTTTAATTAAAATCATAATCATGTCTTTGTGTCTACAGACAATGCGTTGTAGTGACATTTTACTAATTAAACTCTTCAAAATTCTTAAATACTGTACAATTGCAGTTACTAATATATTTAAATTCACATACTGTACACAATGTTTTTAATTTACTGTTCATAAACTACTGTATACACTCAGTTGTAAGTTGAAATATTAATTTGGGTAGAATAAAAATAAATTTGAAATGACTTACAGTACAACAATGATAATGAGAAATCTACATGTACAATGATTAGTCAATGAATCCAACATTTTATGAATTTAAATCCCCTCCCCCCCCCCAAAAGGGGTATAAAAATCCAGATTAATATACAGTACTATTTTATTTTTTTAAATTTTATTCAACTTATAAGGCAAGAACAGAACAGGTGAACAAGCACCTCTACAGAGCCGTCTTACCACCGGAGAAAAATGAATAAATAAATAATCAAATAAATGTAAAAAAGATAAGGATTCAATTCTAAAAAAAAAAAAAAAAAAAAAAAAAAAAAAAAAACAGATCTATTCAGGCTATTAATCACAAAATCCTATCTTGATTTGTAAAATTCAATAACTTTGTTCTTAAAAGAAGGAAAGGAAGAATCTGATCGAATTGATAAAGGAAGATTATTCCAGATGAAAACAATTCGTTGAAAATAAAAAGATTCATGAGCCTTAGTTTTGCACCAGCGTACTATATTGACAATAATTTGATACTAATTTAAACCTACAGTATTGTACTGTACTGTAGTACTCTAAGTGTGTATACTTGGAGTTAATAGTAATTATGGAATATAAACATGATAGTTTAATAATTTAAAAGTATTGTTTGAAGGTTTATAAGTACTTACAGTATTTAACAAACATAGCCCATCAGTAATCCAAATTTGAAGAAGTACTCTGCAGTATTTTCCATCAATACTATACATCTTTTGTGCAATTTACTAAAACTGAAGTCTGTAACAATGTTGATAATAATATTAATACAGTAATTATACAGTTTAGGTTTATTTTAAGTGTTGCTACAGTAGAATATAATGCTCATAAGAATGTAGATAATAATAATGATATTTAAAATGATTACCAACTGCAGTAGCATTACAATAATAAATTGTGAAATAGTTAAAATGATGATGATAATCACTGCATTTAATATGATATTTATTTTTTTAAGGAGGATATTGATAATTTATTTTTTTTAGTCTAAACAAGAATAATACTAAACAACAGATTATTTGTAAGTACAGTAGTGATTTGTAAATGACAAATTTTCATGAATCATTTTTTTTATTTGACATGTGTCAATCAGATTACTGTATTATACCTAATATACCATACTGTAATACCTGTAGTACAGTACTGTAATTTTAAATTATAATTAGTGTACAAACCTACCTTTAAGAATATCATTTAATATTTAAAACTTAATCCATAATATAGTGATCCTGTAGTTCAGTACTGTACTTTTAAATCATAATTAGTGTACCAACCTACCTTTTGGTATCATATTTAATATTTAAAACTCATCTAGAATTCATACTGCCTGTCAACATAAATAATCTCATCCGATGGGTTGTTTTTGTATTAATCTTGCGAGTGTCATGTCATATGATCAGCCATACAGTACTTAATATAATGGATAGAGGGCACTGCTCTGCAAGCAACAACGATTTATTCACTTCTCTGAAATTGTTTTTTAAAAATTATGATTAAATAATAATTGATGAATAATAAAAACATAATGCTTACTTCTTTCTATACTGTAGCTTATGCAAATTTCTGTTAGGTGCGACTTTTTTTATACCTTGTTTAGTGAACACACCAACCTCCAATAATGATGATTTCGAATAAAAACACAATTTTATTTTTTGGCCAATTAAAGCCACCATGAAAAATATGGATGCTTCAGAAAATATAAAAGTTTTTCTTTATTTTTATTATGCCCACCGCTGCCTTGAAATCTCCAAAAATAAGATATGTACAGTAGTACTGTATGTTTATAATTTAAAGCATTTTTAAACCATCCCAGTACTACAGTACACTGTTTACATTCAACAATAACAATTTTTTTTCCCTCTGTTTGGCTGTTTTGGGCAAAACCGTTTGCTAAATAAGAAAACAGAATTTTATATTTTTGTCTGCCCTCTGACAATCTTTAAAAAATTTAGTTTGCGAAACAATAAAAAAATGTCATATCTTTCCAAAATACGAAATACTTTAGTGCATTTTCTTTTTATCTTTTTATCATTTACACTTTTTATCAATGTTTATCTCCCAAATCTAGATTCTGAAAACTGCCAAGAAGTTGAATATGGTAATAAGCTCAGTGGGTCGTGTTGGGTAGAATGAAAATAGATTTGAAATGACTTACAGTACAACAATGATAATGAGAAATCTACAATGATTAGTCAATGAATCCAACATTTTATAAATTTAAATATCCCCCCCCCCCCGAAAAAGGGGTATAAAAATCCAGATTAATATACAGTGCTGTATTGACAGTAATTTGATACTAATTTAAACCTACAGTAGTGTACTGTACTATAGTATATGTGTGTGTATACTTGGAGTTAATAGTACAGTAATTATGGAATATAAACATGATAGTTTAATAATTTTAAAGTATTGTTTGAAGGTTTAAAAGTACTTACAGTATTTAACAAACATAGCCCATCAGTAATCCAAATTTGAAGAAGAACTCTGCAGTATTTTCCATTAATACTATACATCTTTTGTGCAATTTACTAAAACTGAAGTCTCTAACAATGTTGATAATAATATTAATACAGTAATTATACAGTTTAGGTTTATTTTAAGTGTTGCTACAGTAGAATATAATGATCATAAGAATGTAGATAATAATAATGATATTTAAAACGATTACCAACTGTAGTAGCATTACAATAATAAATTGTGAAATAGTTAAAATGATGATAATCACTGCATTTAATATGATATATAATTTTTTTAAGGAGGATATTGATAATTTATTTTTTATTCTTTATTAAATTAACTTTTAAATAGTTAAAAAAAAATAACCAAAGAAAATAGTATCCTAGCAAACTGTGTAACAGTCTGCTGAAATATATAGCAGAGCTTATAACTTAAGTTGTACAGTAGAATGAAAGTTTTTTTCATTTAAAGTCTAAACAAGATTGATACTATAAAACAACAGATTATTTCGAAGTACAGTAGTAATTTGTAAATGATAAATTTTCATGAATCATTTTTTTTATTTGACATGTGTCAATCAGATTACTGTATTATACCTAATATACCATACTGTAATACTGTACCTGTAGTACAGTACTGTAATTTTAAATTATAATTAGTGTACCAACCTACATTTAGGAATATCATATTTAATATTTAAAACTCATCTAGAATTCATACTGCCTGTCAACATAAATAATCTCATCTGATGGGTTGTTTTTGTGTTAATCTTGCGAGTGTCGTGTCATATGATCAGCCATACTTAATATAATGGATAGAGGGCACTGCTCTGCAAGCAACAACGATTTATTCACTTCTCTGAAATTGTTTTTTAAAAATTATGATTAAATAATAATTGATGAATAATGAAAACATAATGCTTACTTCTATACTGTAGCTTATGCAAAATTTCTGTTAGGTGCGACTTTTTTTATACCTTGTTTAGTGAACACACCAACCTCCAATAATGATGATTTCGAATAAAAACACAATTTTATTTTTTGGCCAATTAAAGCCACCATGAAAAATATGGATGCTTCAGAAAATATAAAAGTTTTTCTTTATTTTTATTATGCCCACCGCTGCCTTGAAATCTCCAAAAATAAGATATGTACAGTAGTACTGTATGTTTATAATTTAAAGCATTTTTAAACCATCCCAGTACTACAGTACACTGTTTACATTCAACAATAACAATTTTTTTTCCCTCTGTTTGGCTGTTTTGGGCAAAACCGTTTGCTAAATAAGAAAACAGAATTTTATATTTTTGTCTGCCCTCTGACAATCTTTAAAAAATTTAGTTTGCGAAACAATAAAAAAATGTCATATCTTTCCAAAATACGAAATACTTTAGTGCATTTTCTTTTTATCTTTTTATCATTTACACTTTTTATCAATGTTTATCTCCCAAATCTAGATTCTGAAAACTGCCAAGAAGTTGAATATGGTAATAAGCTCAGTGGGTCGTGTCCCTGGATCGTATGTGTCACATCAAACATACACATGGGTTAACCCACAGGGTAGGAGTGTTTCCCCACCCCCAAATGTGGCAGTTTTGAAGGGGAAGATGACCGAGTCCCAGGGTAGGAAGAGCAGCCTCAATCTATTGAATGATGGGGATGAAAGAAAGGTTAGTATTTTGTTATATTATTCTTGCAAGTTGCTTATGTATAACAAATTCTGTGACATTCATTCTCTTAAGCTGGGCACTCTCACTTCATTGTACAGTATGACCATTGGCTGACGAATCCAACTTGACTCCATATGAGCATTAGATGACACAATACTGTCTGCTTTTTTTTGGTGACAGTCTCATAAACGTGTTGTCACACAAACATGTTATTAAATATGTTTATGCTGTAATTTTGTGGGACAATATCTAAGGGGACGGGGGTTAGCACCAAAAATATCGCCTTGAATAGCGGCAGAGTGTTCGTGAATGTTCCAAAATAGATTCTCCCACCCATTACTTGATTGTGCACTTGTACCCAGTTGCCAAACGCTAAGTGTTTTACTGTAGATATAGATGTCAAATTTTTACATTATAATTAATTATTACCGTTATTTTTTAAAAATTATATATTATGAGAGTGTTTAAATTACTTTATAATCAATGTAATCCTCTGATTTCATCATTCATCTGTAGTTACTTAAATTCCTACTAATTTCTTTGTTTCCTGTCCTTTCATTGAAACATTGTAGGTGAATTTGGTGATTGGAGATGGACAAAGCTTAGGTTTGATGATCCGAGGTGGCCTGGAGTTTGGTCTCGGTATCTACATCACTGGAATAGATGCATACTCAGTGTCAGATGCTGCTGGCTTGAAGGTATGTCAATTAAACGGTTAATTAATTGTAAGAAGCATACTGGTAACGTGCTGGTAGTCTGCTTTGAGTGTTGAATCACACAACAAGTATCTGGGGTTATACAGTAATATATTTGTCAAATATTAAATTGGTGGGATAGGGTGTTCGCGTAACGCTAAAGTTCGTTACCAAGTACATTAATTTGTTCCTTATGTTCTAAAGAGAGAGCGCATTGTAAATCGGACACTTCTAATTGTTACGCGTAAACGTAAAGTTGCGGGGCGTACGCTTATGATCAGAGCAGTCAAGGTTCAAAAGTTTTCAATTTTGCAAGAGGGTGCTGTTCATGCGTTATTACAGAATTTGCACGTGTAAATCGCGGAGAACGTTATCTTATGTTTATAAGATCTTTGTTTATAAGTAATACCACTAGTGGCGGATTGGCCTATCTTCTAGTTGGACATGGACCGATGCGCCCTTTGGGGTATGGCACCTTTTTTTTTCTTTTTTTTTTACTGACCAAAGAACCCTCTTAAGAAATGTTCTTTTTAAGAACGGTTTTTGTTGTAGAAACAGGGCCCACAAAAATGAACCGTTCTTTATGGCATCCCAAAGATCAGTTCTTCAGCACAGAATAAAATCACCATGGTAAAACAAAATGTTAAACTGTTCACAACACAATAAATTATTTCCTTTTGTTAAGCACTGTACTATAAGAACAAAAGTTTAACCATTTTTTTATTTGAATACCGACACAAGTTTATTATTAGATTTACATGGCAGTACAACCATAAAACATATGGCAAAGCCCAAACAGTTTTTTTACTTTTTACTATAAAAATGATTTTCATTACCGGCCAGTTTTCTTATAATTATCTCCATTTAGTGTGGAACAGTGGTGTTTTTATGTGGGGAAATATTTAGTTATATATACCGTAATAATAATATAATATAATTGTAATAATTATGTAATATAAATAAGTGTAAATTATCAAAATAAAACTACAATATGTTCTAAGTTAAACCATCCAAATTTACATGAAGAATTTTGTCCTTTTGCTCGACATCTCCACTACTTATTAAACGGTACCGACCCTGTACTATAACAATCAACCCCTGGGTGATACTACAAGGCAATTGAAACTGGTGATAAGCTTCAGCCCAATGAGCCCTGTGGCTCGGCAAGGATTTACTTTTTTTCTAAGACACTTAGGCAACATTATACTGTTTACATACCTTTTAGGGGTCTAAGTCTTTGTACATGAATGTAACCTATTGTTTGTATTGTTTACAGGTAGTTGTTTATCTTATATGCAATTCATAGATTTGTTAACAGGCCATGAATCATTCAGAATGCAAACAGATACCACATGTTCCATCTCCGGTGTAATATACAGTAAACATGCAGTAAATTGGTTTTAAGTAAACATGCTCTAGATATTATAAAGGATGCTAAAATGTTAGCAAAAAGCTATTCCTATGCAACCATTAGGATCAAAACCAAAGCTTTCCACTCCAGCAATTGGGATGGCATTTTTAAATATATATAATACTAATAGAATAACTACTATAAATAACACTTCTGTAGCATAAATTAATTGTATAGTTTGTCTAACCCTCTGAATTTATGTGCTTTACAGTACATTAATGAAGTCCATGCTAAATTAATGATTGTATTTTAACAGATTTGTAGTGCTTGATTTAGTTAAATCTTTTTTGAGACTTCAACTAAGTGTACACTTGTTTACGTCATCTTTGATTAAATAATTTTCATGTCTGTCTGTGTGGCAATGTTCTACTTCATCAGACAGAGTTTAGTAGTGTTAACTGTGACATACAAAAGCTAATGGTCTATGCCCGGCTTATACTAAAACCCTAATGTCTTTTTATTGTTAATTTTAAGTTACCAATTAGTGTTGTCTTATTGCAAACTTTAAAAAGTAAATCCTCTCATTAGAGTTTTGATGCAGTCGGAGTATGAATTACCACCTCAACCAAACCAAACTCATCTCCTGTGAAATAATTATTCTCCCTTGTTTTATAATCCCACATACACATCAATTGTACTTATTGTAAGCAGGATCCTGTAATTCTGCATTTATTGATTGGGCTATTGCGGGCTGGATTATCTCTCCCAGCATAGCCGCATCCTTTGTTTGCAGTCAATAAACATATCTACACGGACAAAATACAAAATCAATGGGCTGGAAATCACTGCTGTATTTATGTATTTTAGGTGTTTTCATGTGATATAATATGATCCGTGAACAAGAGTGATTTTTTTTCATCAAAACTGAAAGAAACTGTCAATGTTGCTGTCAGGACGTGTCAGATTTCTTGTCGGTTCACTAAAGATTTTCACTATAAAGATTACAGTAACAACACTGCTTGTAGTTATCGATTTATCAAAAAGCATGCGCATCATATTACCTGTAATCTCCTCCATTGAATTAATTTATGCAAAAAAATCACAAATTAACTAACTTAAGCTACTTGCCTGTCAGTTCACCTTGTCCTAATTTGTAACATCTTGTAGGAGACTGAAGCCTTTACCATTTGGTGGTATGTGGCGGCATGTCTAAAAAGCAAATGGCACAACATTTTTTTCTGTATTTTTAAATTTATGTGTAAGTGTTTGTGCTCTACATGTAGGTTGAACGTGCTAAGATAATTTTTGATACATACAATATTATGTTAATTTTGGTAATTGCATGATTTGTCAGGAGGCCCCCAAAAATGATACAGGTGTATGTTCACAATCTTCTATACAGTATGTTGATCGTCATTATTAATTTATTATTGTTGATATTTTTGTTCTCCTTTGTTTCTCTTTATGAATATTTATGAATGGTACTTTACTTCACATCTAATGAAATCTTTATTGTCCAAATATAACAGAAACGTATACTGTACTAGAAATTTATTTTTAAACGCAAACAAACCATACCAACGGAAACAAATTGCACAATCATTCTTAAACTACATAATCAAAAAGTCAGAAAAAAGAAACAAAAATACAAAAAGACCTTTTTACAATTGATTAAAAGGTTTAATAAAAATACAATTTGAATTTAAAAAAAAGTTAAAATGCAAGAGATCATACATATCAACATAAAAGAAATAAAAATATAGGTTTCTACAGTACTCCAATAGTCTTGCCTCTAGTCCTGTAGATTTGTTTCTCGATATTCATGACATTGTAATCACAAATATTCATAAATATATTTTTGTATTTTTGATTGAAAACAGTCAAAAACAGAGCAGTACAACATTGAATTCTTGGCAGCCATTGACTGAAATAGGGATTCAATTATTTTGTAGAAAAATATAATTATTATTCAAAAATTCATATATTGGGATATTTAAATTAGATTCCTTTACATGAACAGGTTGGAGACCAAATACTTGATGTAAACGGTAGAAGTTTCTTAGAAATTGAGCATCAAGAAGCCGTCAACATACTCAAGTCCTCAAAGCTGATGATGATGACGATCAAGGACGTTGGGAAGTTGCCCTACGCACGCACCACAGTTGACAAGACACAGTGGATAATGGGGGATCAGCTGTCGATGCTAGACGGAGATGATAACACCCAGGATCCAGTACCCGATTTTCAGAACGGTAACTTTGTCGGAAGAGGGATGGAAATGGTAAGTTATAAGCCTTCATTATTTATGCTCATTAAGAAACTAATTATCAAACTCACCATCAATGTGTTACCATACACTATTATGTGGAATATGTTTTTTTATTAGACTTCTAAATCTATTAGCTAAATGTTGTATTATTTGATGGGAGAACAATAATTAATAATAAATAGGACCCCCACTTAAAGATCTATAAAAGCAAGAAAGAACATATTTTTTTTTAAAATTAATTGCTATAAATCATGATATTCTTAACTTTATTCCAGAAATGTTTATACCAACATCATTAAATGTTGAAATATATTACTTTAAATATCATGTAATTCAACCTTGGCTGTGAATTTAATGCGAATAAGAGAACTAAAACAGGACTAAATTATAAAATTACAACTAATCATGGCGGTGTTTGTCTTTTATTGTTATTATTATTATTATTATTATTATTGATTTTGTTTACAGCCCTCATTCAAGAAAGGAATAGCTGGTTCACAGATCATGTATAACACATCGATGACATGGAATATGATAGAGGAACAGGCAAGGCAGCTTCTAAATGAAAATGAACGAGGCACAATGAAGTATTACTTGGGAGAGTATCAGAAGGCCCACATCTCCGTCGATGAACTCGTACTGGCGTTATTTGAGCTTCTCAACACACACGCAAAGGTAATTTCATATTCACAAACATAGTGTTTATAGCGCTTTCTCTCTAATTTAAGTTTAATTTTGAATTCAGGATTTGATTGCAAGCCTCTTTTAAATCCACTAAGCTACTATAAGGCCGAACTATAGTGATTCCTTTCTTGCTGTATAGCATTATTAAACATTTTCCTTTTAGTTTTCTTTGCTGTCGGAAATCAGGAGCTTCATGGTTCCGAAAGATATTGATCGGTACGACACACTGGTATTGAAACGTGAAGTTGAGGCTATGAAGGTATGTAACTGAAAGTTTCACTTACCTAAGTACTGCACTTGTTCATATCATATGTTCACTATGTATTTACAGTCACCCCCTAGCTTTTTGTAAATTAACTGCCATTTTGTCATTGTGTTTATAATATAATGGTCCTGTTCATGCAATGTATGATTTTACATGTTCAAAAGTTGTTTTTCCCAAATGTTTATCCTGTTTGCTAGATAATATATTATAAATGAAAATGTTATTACTAATATTGAAACATTAACGCTAGCTAATATAAGAATTTATAAACATAATATTTACCATCTGAATGTTAATTGTGTCATCTCTCTACCTCTCCAGGCTCGTCAACGCATTTTCCCACAGAAGGAGAAAGAGAACTCTATCGGAGAAACGTTCTCCGGGAGTAGTCACTACTCCTCAGGTTCCATCGACTCAAGGCCAATAACTCCACCACAAATTCCCAGCTCCATTCCATTTCCCAAAAAGGTACATGTCTGATACTGTAAATTTTTTAAATTTTCACAATTCTACAATTTTGAATTGTGAAAGATGGAAGTAGAATTTTGAGGCATTCAGATTTCAACTGTACTTAAAGCCCTTTTTTTTTTGCCAGCTAGGCATTTTAATGGATCGGTAAAAAAATAATAAAATTGTAATACACAATAATCAAAATAGAGGTGGAAATCCCTGATACAAGAAATCATAAAAGTGGTTTACATGTTTTCTTTTTAACATGTCTGTCTGTCTGTCTGTCATCAGCTGTTGACATACATTTTTTCAAATATTTATTATCATCTCTAATCAAAACCAGTGGAGGTATATCCCAATACTGTAGTTACTTACATAAGTTTTAACTTGGCAAGGCTGGGTGTACCGGAGAGCATTTTGCCCCACTGCCTCCCAACAAGGCTCTTTTTAAGCTTCCTCCTTCTTATGCGAAACTAGCTAACTAAACATTTCTATTATATTTCTAATTTTTATTGCTGCGCTCATTAGAAGCAGACAGAGCTTAGAACGTCTGCTCTGCTCTTGCATGACATTCCAATATTGGTAAGTCTAGTGCTATATTTGCAGTCTGGTGTAGAAAGACTAGTTCTTACTTTGATGTGCTTTTGCCTCTTGTGAGTGCTGTCTATTGAATATTCTGCAGAAATGTCTTGTTAAAAGGGAGATATACTGTTTAATAGGAAGAGAACTAGGCTTAAATTTAAATGACTACAGTAGAACCCCTATTAAGGGGCCCCAGGACTAAAAAAATGTCTCCATAATAGGGGTTTCCCCCTGAGGGTCTTTCTTATTCAGGGGACACTAACCAAAAATGCGAAATTGTCCCCTTAATAGGGATTTTTAGCATGTTTTTATGTGATGATGACAGATTCTCTATAATTTCATTTTAATTGACCTAATAATGAGTTACAGTTGAATTATAACTAATTTATAACAATAATTTGGCAAAAAATAAGGCAAAAAAAAATTTATTTAAGATATGAAATTAACGGATATGTAATTAAAACTACAAAAGTTGTATATGTTCCCAATATTATTTCTTGATTCGAGTGCTATGTTAATGAACAAATATTCTTTTTTTTTTTAATATTGAGCTTTCTATCGGATGCACAAGATACTGTAGAATACTATTGTAGATGTTAACAACTTATAAGTCAGGGTGCAGGCTGAACAGTATAGTTTAGAATCCTATATGAAAATACACAAGAAATCTCCCTGGTTGATGGTCAGAATTTTACAAGATTGTATTTACATGAAGTAACACATGCACTAAGAATCATACCAATGCCCATTCAAAGGATGGACAAAATTCTGGTTTTATGTTAAGGTTGCTGCTCAAAATATAAATTTGAATGATTTTTTCCCCCTTATTTTTGTGACTACTGTACTGTAGTTGTTTTGATACAATAAAAAAGTGTCCCCATAATAGGGGTTAAGTTGTATTGATTTGACAATTTGGCACACTCAGAAAGTGTCCCCATCCCCTTAATAGGTTTGTCCCTTTAATTTTGTGCATTTATGCTTACTATCTGCTGTACCATCCTTGCTAGATTATATATGTCCAAATTTATTGTATTTTCTCTCTGTTGTTGGATTGCATAATTGTTTTAAGAATAAAATAATAAAACAATGCTAATAAATATAATACTTGGCATTTTTATTATATTTTATTTAAAACTAATTCATAACATTCTTACTGAAAACTAATAAGGCTTTACTCACCAATATAAATTATAATATTGATAGATTCTCTGACATTGGTATATTCACTGTATCATTCAGCTGCTTTTAGTTTGTGCTTTATTATAAATGCACCCACAATAACTTCTTTACCATTATAGTAGTATAGTGTCATTATATTTCTGTATGTATTTGAATTTGTAGCTTTCAATATCTGTTGCATGTGTTCCTTTCTCATTGTTGCACACATAATTAATTGTAATTAATGTTGTTAAATATGTAAACTCATGTATTACTCCATCCCTTGGAATTAGTAATGATGATTCTTGATTTACTTATTTACAATGTTACTATTTTTCCATTGGTTAAAATCTTTCTTAATTGAACACAGCATTAACTATGCACAAGAGTATTGTAACTTCATCTATTCAATGGGGAGTAAGACTTGCTGAGTGGATTTAAGTGCAATTGCAACTAAGATTAGCAACAATAACAATCATAGTCTACTATTTTGTTATTGCATGGGTGTAGAAAGAACCATAAAGGAATGTAATTTAAGCCTATAAGTCTTATACAGCAGCAGAACCAGTATTTTGATGGCGGTGGCTCAACCTTAAAGAATTCAGTAGTTCAAAATTGGAGGAAAAGTTGCAAATGTGGTATTACCAATTTTATTTTAGGCATTTTTCATTCCAGTAGAGCATATTTGAATCCTTAGTGGGTATGCCATGTGCAGTAAATTTTCAGGTGTAGTTTAAGATGTCGTTAATTTGCAGAATCCTTCATTGTTTTTGTTATTTTCAGGGCCAGTATAATGGAGGTATGCACAGCCATATGAATGGGTACGAGAATTCACAGATGAATGGTTTTGGTGGCTTAGTGAACGGGTACAGCAAGCCACATACTAACGGATTTGATTCAAAAGGTGGCAACTCAAAGTTACCAGACTTTCTTCCTGTAAGTGGTGACAAATTTTATGTTTTCTACCTCTTAATAAAAAATAAAAAATTATTTAGAACGTCAATGGTACGAAGTCGCCTGCAATTCATAAGAGGATCCCAGAAAAAGCATGATCTCTTGTGACTAAGCAAAAACCACCAAGAAACCAATATTCCACAATGTTTATAATGTGAAATGTTTTTACTACTATTTTTCACCCTGGCAATGGGTATCATTGCACATAGCTCGGGACCCCTCTAATGTTATTGATGTATGTGCTATCAATGTAGTAAAAAACACTAAATTCATTCATTTCATTAGGATTTCTTGTCTGAGTCACCTCCACCCCCTCTCATCAACTCATCGTCATCCCATCTGTCACCCACATCACCTGGAAACCAACAGACGATACAAGCAGATGTCCATCGTCATGCATCATTTGCCAAATATGTTGAACCGATTTACAGCGAGGTGAAGAGTCCAAGTGAAGACAGTGGTGTTGATGTGCTTATGAACTCTGGACGGATGACAGTACATCGGTATATTCCTATATTACCAAATTTTTCTCTGCTGTATTTTCTGTATATTATGTTTTGTGATTTAGATGCCTACAGGGTCTTGCCATCCCAGGATACTGGGGTTAATCATATATTCTGATTGTTTTTCTTTGGTGTGAAACAGGCCCAGGATAACACACTAAAAGTCTTCATTTTAGTGGGGTCCTTCTAGGCTTGTAAATATTTCAAAGTAAAGGGCTTATCATCAGTTTGTTATTTTCTCTAACAAATTGTGACTTTGTATTTAAAGGAAACAAATCACAACAGACTTATAATTTGCTGTTTGTTTGTTGTTTCAGTCATGAACCTCTTTATGCTGGCATGAGCGATGCAGAAAGTCCACCGCCTGTCTTTGACCATTCTGCACCCCAACCAACAAAATCAAGACATTCTGGCGAACTTGAAAGACGTCATAGCTTTGACAGTGTCACAACAGACAGTTCTAATAACAGCGTGGTAAGTCCCTTGACCTGTATGTAAGTCTTGCATTTGTTCGTCTAAACTTGACGGTCAGTTTGAACCTCAAGTAAACTAACTAATTCGCTAAGTATTTTTCTGATTTTCTGACTTATTTTACAAACATAACAGTGTTTTCAGATCAAGTTAATATATGGTTAACACTGAATCTGACCTTCACAAACAAAAATAGAGGAATATGAAATTTTTCGGCTAACACAAGTTTAATCTATTTCAGCGATAAAGAAGGATAACAATACCATTAAATGTTAATAACTTGAGGCGACAGGCAGATATGAAAAAAATAATATTTTTTTACTAATGAAAGGGTTTTTTATGGGTTTAAAAGGGAATCACACCGTGTGGTCCCTCCTGTTTCACCTTATAGCGCACAATTGACACCTTTAAAACTTGACTTCATTATTATTTTCACTGATACTTCCTTTCCTCAATCCCCTCCACTTAATTAGTCCCTACTCAAAGTGAATAGAAAATTTCAAGATGGAAATTTATAAACATTTGCTTAGCATCACAGTTTTCAAATATTGATCTTGAATTCCATTATGCTCTTAATTATGTTTAAAATGTTCAGCATTGTCATACCAATATAGATGTTTCTTGATTATATTTTTTTGCTTTGTTTCAATAGTTGCTTGACCTGCCAAGGAGGTCAAGTGGGCCAACAAGTGAGAACGGAGTTCCAAGACGCATTAGCGATCCAACGCATGTGAGTAAACATAATTGTCACCACTTAATGAAAAATATCTTGGATAAAGTATATTCTGTTAATATATATTTGAGTTAATAAACATAAACAATAAAATGATTATATGAATCAATTAATTATGTAAATAAAGAATTTTTTAATTTAAAATCCTTTATTGAATTTTTCTTGTCAATTGACACACATGCATGAAGTATACCATTTTTCTTCATTGTATATACCCTCAAATTTGCTGGAAATCAATATAAAATTGTAAATTAACATAAACTGAATCATTTCAATTTCTCATTGGCAGTTGAGTACTGTATGATTCTTTTAAATGTGCAATTCAATGATTGTTTTAATGTAGCACGTACCTCGAGACCAAAAACGAAGCATAAATCAAACTAAGAAAGCAAGTCAGCAACTGTACGACCTGAAGAAGTCTGACACGTCACCAACGTATCCATCATCAAACAACTACTCAAGCATCTACGAACAAATACAACGATCATCTCACGAGAAACAGGGTACAAGCACTCCCTCGCCAATGTCATCTAAGAATGGTACGCTGACGCTGAGCCCCATTCCTGCTCCGCAGTCCAGCATGGGAACGCCAATCTACGCAACGGTTAATAAATCTCGACAGAGAAGTGGGAAAACATCGGCTACATCAAGCTCGGAGGTGGAAACCAACTCGAGGAACTCATCACTGAGAAGCCGGAGTCCAAGTGCTGGCAGTGGCAGGTCAAGCCTTGGAAGCCTCAAGAGAAATCCTGCAGTAGCTAGTAAGGTAAGATAAATCCAGAGATTGTGGAGATGTAGTGTGCTGACTATAAGAGGCTTGCTTTTAAACTCGGTGCAGGATTTTTTTCTGACAACTAAAAAAGATCTCAACTCTAAACCTTTTAATGAGCCTGTACTAGATTGCTAACTAATACAACCAAAAATGAAGTGAAATGATTTTTATGAAATTCTGCATGCTAAGCATTAAGTGTATCCAATATATGTATGAATTATCTTATCTACTGTAATGTATTTTTCATTTAGTTAATAGCCCTTGTTGGCTTTTAGAATTTTAATTAATTGAATTAAGAATTTTTCATAAATATTTTGCATTTGTTTTTGATTGGCAGATGGATGAGCCTCCTCTACAGGTAGAAATCCTTATTAACATCAGCGATCGTGATGCCATAAAAAAATACGGGGAAGAGGTACAGATACGTAAAGTAAAACCAACACTGGGCATTGCTGTAGAGGGCGGTGCAGGTACTAGACAGCCATTACCAAAAGTAATTAAAGTCCAGGTAAGTTTATGATGAGTTTATATTCTCAAATGCTTCTAAACCCTTGGGAATATGGGAATTGATGTTACTTTTTTAAAAGACAAGACATTACCTATATCACCGAGGAAGGAAGTCCAGTGTGGTAACCTAGTTATCCCGTCATTTTTGTCCACTGCCATCCAGCAATAACTAAACAGTTGTTATATTTTACCATGATAATATATATTTCATCTTGACATTTGTATGGGTTGTTGATTTAGTAGGGAGAAAATCATTTTGCCTAGTGTCAATTTATATTTCTTGTACTGAAAGTTGTCTTTATACTCTTATGTGCAGATCTCCTAATTGCCTAAATTTTATTAACCGTTGTTATTTATATTATCTTAGCCTTTGTTCACACTATCAAACTCATTGTGACAATTTTCTTTGATTTACCCATACATTGGCATGATGATGTCATATCACACCCATATGTAGGCATGATGATGTCATACAGTATCTCACCCATATGTACGCATGATGATGTCATATCTCACCCATATGTAGGCATGATGATGTCATACAGTATCTCACCCATATGTACGCATGATGATGTCATATCTCACCCATATGTAGGCATGATGATGTCATATCTCACCCATATGTAGGCATAGTGATGTCATATCTCACCCATATGTATGCATGATGATGTCATATCACACCCATATGTACGCATGATAATGTCATATCACACCCATATGTAGGCATGATGATGTCATATCACACCCATATGTAGGCATGATGATGTCATATCACACCCATATGTAGGCATGATAATGTCATATCACACCCATATGTAGGCATAATGATGTCATATCACACCCATATGTAGGCATAATGATGTCATATCTCACCCATATGTACGCATGATAATGTCATATCACACCCATATGTAGGCATAATGATGTCATATCACACCCATATGTAGGCATGATGATGTCGTATCTCACCCATATGTAGGCATAATGATGTCATATCACACCCATATGTAGGCATAATGATGTCATATCTCACCCATATGTAGGCATGGTGATGTCGTATCTCGCCCATATGTAGGCATAATGATGTCATATCACACCCATATGTAGGCATAGTGATGTCATATCTCACCCATATGTAGGCATAATGATGTCATATCTCACCCATATGTAGGCATGATAATGTCATATCACACCCATATGTAGGCATAATGCCATATCACACCCATATGTAGGCAGGATGATGTCATATCTCACCCATATGTAGGCATGATGATGTCATATCTCACCCATATGTAGGCATAATGATGTCATATCTCACCCATATATGGACATAATGGTATTATATCACACCCATATATAAATAAATCACTGGTGTTTGTCTCATAAAATGTTATAGTGACAACAAAGCTTAAGACTTAAAGTATTTACAAGGCTTCATATTTACCCTTTTTTTTTTGCAGGGTGATGGGGCAGCAAGTCACAGCAGTAACTTGCGGGTAGGCCATGTGATATTGAAAGTCAACAACAAGTCGCTCTTGGGTCTGGACCACAAAGCAGCAACGCGCCTTATTGCCGAGGCATTCAAGAACAAATCTCGCAGCTCCATTGATCTTCTCGTCTTAGACTCAAATGCTTATAGAATCATATATTAGATGTTTTGTGACCTCAAATATTTATAAATGAACCGAAAGTAGTTGTAATGTTTAATTACTCACAATGGAGTTTTCACAGATTGGTATAACACATTCATCCTTTTCTGAAATTTAAATTGAAACATTCAGATTTTTTCTATAATGTGATTGGTCTGCTGTGGCATTCTCTAATGATTTACTATTAATGATATTGTACAAATACATACATGTTCACGACTATGTTAATAATAATAAAGATCTGAAGCAAACTTTCCTCTTTGTTATAATACTAGTACTAGTAATTTGCAGTGACTTTTAATGTTTCTGTACATTCACTAAACAAAGCATTCCATTTCTTTAAACCTTGATTTTGATATTGATGTATACACTGCAGAATAGATTTTATTTGATAATAGTTTATAATTTTTCAGTTGTTGGGAGTTTTTTTTGTATAATAATATTTGTTATTCTTAAGTTGTTAATAATAATATGAATAATGTATTATACACTTTTTTTTTTAATTATTCATATAGCAGTGTTCTTCCGAAGCCGTTTTAGCCGTCAATTTTACCAGTAAAAATAACTGACCAACCAGTAAAAATTGTGTGTTTTTGTAGAATAAAAAAAGCACTTGTTAGGCCTGGGCTGGCCTTCATTCAAAAATTAAAATCATTCCACTGTTCCAGTCCAGGCCTAGGCTATAATTATATGTGCTGTTGTATTTTGAAGCCATTGAACACTAAGCTGGCTTTATATGGACAAATTTACCAGTAACAATTTTTCAATTGGGAGAACACTGTATAGTCCAACTCGGATGTCATTGTACAATGCAGGCCAACGCCATTTGTTGTGTCGGGTTTGTGTGAGTTAAATGGAAACGCGGTAGGTCTGCATCGAGGACAGTCGCATCTTACAATATCAAATATTCTCTGGCTACAGCGGTGGCCCTTTTATAACATACGTCTTTATGTACTAGGAATCACCAAAAATTTCAGCAGACATAAAAAGTTTAAAATTAATACAACTAAACAATCTTTATAAATATATAGAAAGTATGCCATTAATAGTAGTACATATATTGCATATTTCATTTATTATGTCAATTTGTTTTTGTGATTTAATAAGAGAGAACAGTTTATTTTATATGCAGTAATTTTGATAATTCCGCTTACCGTGTTGTGCCTAGATATTTAGGATATTCATACCGTCCTCACAGGTGGCCATGCAGTAGTACTTACTATAAACCATCCTCAGGATTCGTTTCATAGCCACTTCTAAAATAAAATTTTCCATTATTTTTGCAGTATGGAAAAATTAAAAACTAAATGATACCATTACTAAAATGGTAAGAATATGATCATGTGATAAAACTAATTTTTAATTTGTTACATTTCTACCATTGTGTTTAACACAATTGATGTGTTTTGATTAAATAATTTAATTATTGTGTCATATATTATTATTTTAAGAAATTGCCTGGTACAGTAATTTTTTTTATTTATAATTTCTGATTTGCAAAATAAATGTACATACAACATTACAAGTACATACAACATTATAAATTTTTAACAATCTGAGATAATTAAAATTTCAGATACTGTATCTAGAAATAATTGTTAAAATATATTATTATATTAAATACTGATGTGGTTAATGGTGTTTTGTCCATTTAAGCTAGGAGCTAGGCATTATAAAGTATAATTTTTAACTGTAAATAAATATGACTACTTAGCTTACTGTAAGTCATTGAGTGGTTAGCATTCCCGATAGTTACTTATTTTTTGTACATATAAACTGATGTGAAAAATATTGTAATATATTTTATTCTTTTTCTGTAATTTAAGAATATGTCCCACAAGTACAGAAACAAATTCAGTCGGCATTCATCCTGGTCTGTCTTGATCATCTGGGTTGTTTTAAATGACAAATTGTGAAAATAATACTTCAAAAAATATAGTAAGTATGAAGTCCAGACTTCTCAAGTTAGTAAAATGCATTTAAGTAACCATTTCTTCAAATATCTGTAGTAATACAAAATTTCCATAGCACTTATTAATTTGTCAAGCAAACTAGACAGGATAAAAATTTATAGGTAACTTTTTCTTGGTAACCAAAGATCCTGATGGAAAAGTAATGGATAGACAATGTGTAGCCCTATTTTTTTTATCGGTCGAGGCTTAATGATAAATTTCCGTGGTATTTTGGTCTATTTTTTCTACACCCGTAATTAGGCAAAATTGTCATAGTAACTACGGACATTCTGTAAAATTTGAGAAGTCTGGTAATCTATACAAATAATTATATCTGTGAGTCTATTACATAAATGAACCAGCAATTGCCAATTTTCCTGGAAACCGTTTGGATATAATAAAATCATCCAAGCATGCTGTGAAATTTATACCAAAAACCACGTTAACATCCTCATTCATGGGAAAACATTCTCAAATGTGTTGGTTTATTGCGGTATCTCCGACTACTATTAGAAGATAGGACTTTTGTAAATAACAGTTAAAGTTTAGAGACACAAAGTAAAATTATTGATTTTTATATATTATGTATTTTAAAAAATGGTTGACATAAACAGAGTTCCTAATCATAGAAAAAATAATTGTAGAATAAGTTGAAGCCAATTTTAACAGATAGAATTGTTTAAAATATTAATTTGCCTTTGAAGTATGATAATTGTAGTAAGCTTTCATTTGGTCATCTAACCCTTCCAGAAAATTATTATGTTATTCTGTTGAAAGTGTGATGTGTTTTATACATCATGCATATATTGTTGAAATAAGGTAATATGGGCGCTCCACACATTGTTACGATGTGTTATGTGTTCTGTACAAACGAACATACTGTCACGATGTGATATTTGCAGTCTTTATGTTCATATACATTTGCAACATCATTTGTGTACTCTACACACACTCTACATGAACATAAAAAGTTCAAATTTCACATCATGACTATTTCTACAGGTATGTGTACAAAACATATAACACATTTGTAACAATGTGTAAAGTGCACATATTACCTAATTCCAACAATATATGTATGGTGCATAAAACACATTAGACAGAATAAAATAATTTGTGCACAGTACACATACTTTACACATAATGTTGCAACAGTATGTGTGCAGTGCAGTGTACAGGTACTGTTGCAACATGGTATGTGCACAGTACACATAAACATATGTGTGCATCATGTTATGTTGCATGTTTACATACTGTTGCAAGGTTTTTTGTTTTTTTTACTTTACACATTTACTTGTAGGTTAAACAGAGGTGGTATATTGTATCAACTATAATTGAATACTGTACTTGGTCTATGATGTCTTGGAATATCAGTGTATTTGCTGATTTTTTTCATTCTCTGCCTTTTTTATATCAGCCGTCCATTTGTACTACAATCATGTACAGTACATTCCGTCCTTTCTGTGCAATACATTGTCATTGAACTTATCAACCATTCTTAACTCTTCATCATTCCACAAGAGTTCATTGCTAAATTGTAGACTTAGTAGAATCTCATAGATTTTTTTTTTTACAAAATTTAATTATCATTGACTCAGTCTAGACAGATAACCCTGATGGGTAATATTCTCATGGGTGTATACATTATGATATATGGTGTTGATATTAAGATTGTACTTAAAATAATGTAGCTGTAAGTCTTTTTTTTATTTAGATAAGGCCTTTTACATCTGTTATGGTTAAAATAGATAATCAACCGTCCAATTTAATTCAGTATTTTAGAAGATTTTAGAAATATTCAGAACCGTCCACAGAAAAAGAAAGTTCATATTTTGAAAAAGAGTACTGTTTTCAAAATGTTGCCAACTGTTACTATGTACTGTAGTGCAAGTTTTTAGGATACCCTGTGACTGAGTTTTATATGTATATTAATCGCTCCTCATCCAAACATTCCCTCGTTGTGTTTGGAAAACGTTAATAATAAGTTTATAATCGGCTCGGCAACTTATTTTAGTGTTGAGAATTTGTTAACCTCTTGTGCTATATTTTACATTTAGAATTTCAGCTGTGATGTTTGAAATATTGGTTCATTCCATTTTTTTGTAATGGTTAAAGATATTAACCGTTGTTGACCAGTCAAAGAGTTTGTTAAGTGGTGGTTTGATCGAAACATAAAAATTAATTTGTGTACCTTATCCATTTTAGTTAAAAGCAATTTTTAAATGATAACATAAACAACTGCTTGCGTTGGTATGGATTATACTGTATTGATTTTTTGACAATTTAGTTTCATTACATTTAGGTGTTAAAACAGGATTTGAGGATTTTAAGTTGTGGGATGGGCATTGATTTCTCTAAACTTGGTTAAACTGGGGAGAATGGAATCGAATCTGCTGTGTGTATATAGTGCTTCAATGGAATAGATTTTGACTTCAGACGATCAGTTGGCATTTTGTATATTTGGAGAATTAAATGGCTGAATAACACAAGCTTGCCTACTATCATATAGCCTCAAGTGTGTTATTTTTTTGTCAAGTTTGCATTGTTTTTAATTAATTGTCTTTTAATTCAATTCCTTTTAATGCTAAGAAAACCACTATGAGAAAACAATCTGCTAAAACAATGACAAGAATATGGTAAACAAAAAAGTAATGGCTAAATTCTGACAATAAATATGCATTGTGGGGTAGAAACGTTACTCTGCGATAGTTCTAATGAACTATACCCGACTGCTTAATTGAGGGGGGTGTTGCTTCAAAAATGGTCATAATGACTATACTAATTGAACAACGACTTGTAAATTACAGGATCAGAGTTTCATTTTAAGCTAAAAGAATAGAAAAAAATAGAATAGAATCCTCATGCTTTGAACACCGCACTTGGTATTGAAAGGAGAGTATCTTAACCTCATCAATAACTGCACTTAACTGTTAATATAAATATATTTTGGAATCAA